AGATTTCTTCAGCACAACTGGTGACCAGGTGAGAAAGCAACCACAGTATCATTCAACGACTTTGCAGGGCTGTGCTCTGAGGAATCCACAATGTTACACAATACAATACAGAGATGCACACCCATCTTGTGAGCTACAGACACCAGAAGGCATGGCATTTGAGAAATCCTTGGGTGTGGAAAGGGCAGAGCAGCCACTAGTTCTCCAATAAGTCATCAGGAGGATGATTTTGAGATAAAGACCAGAGACTTGTAGTTAGGATGTTCACCATCTGGGTCTGCTTTTTCCAAAAGGCCTCCTACCCAGTGTAGTTTTTGGACTGTGCAGTTTATCTCAAATTAAGCATGAGTGACACTGATCTGCCTCCCAGAGATGTTATAAAGGGCAACTTATATCAAGATGGAAAAGCACCAAGACTACAGTGAAGGAGCAACTGTGCAAGACTACAGTGAAGAAGCAGATCTGTCTTGTTTATTACCCTGCAAGTTTAGTGCAGTTGAACAATTGCCCTCAATATATATAGGGAAATGCAAAAGAAGGCAGAGCTTCCTGAAGCAAAAAGATGGACTGAGAGAGCCCTGTTCAAGGCATGGGGAGGTAAGAAGGGGCTGGAGCAGGATAGCAGCACACAGTCCATTTGAGCTTAAATAGGAAGGTCACCAACAATTGATTTTCCATTTGATAGTCTAATGAATGATAGCTTAAAATTTAGTGTGCTCCACTCTTTAAGGTGCTTTATCACTCTTTCATAATTTTTTCTAGTCACTCTCTCTGAAAGCACATGGTGGCAAAAGGCAAGAATGCCTTTTGCCAAGAGCCCCAAGAGCAGGCACGCTGAAAAACAAAGCTTGTGGGGAGCATGAGGAAAAGGCAGCCTAGGAAAAATGGTGCTGAGAGTCAGAGGTGGAGTGTAGGGGGAAACATCATTGTAAATTTTGTCTGGAAACCATGATTAATAAATTCTGGTTTTTTCATTAGTATTGGAGAAATTACAGTCTTGAGAACTGAAACTTTCTAGTCCTGCCCAACCCCACAAACTCAGAATCGGAGTCAAGAGGAAGCTGTGCTTTTACACAGAAAAGGAAGCTTAATAATTTGGGTTGAAGATATGAGTGATAGGATCTCCTTTCTTTTCTATTAATGTTTATGTATCATTATTAACAACCCTTATTAAAAAATATTGATGTCACCAGCAGAACTCAAGTGTAGCTCCAGTATTTATTTTTCCTCCTGTGTCTCTCATCTGCCAAAACTCCCAGCTTGGCACATTATAATTTTTTAAAGCTGAGTATTTCCCTGTTGGGACCAGGCTTGTTTATTTCTGATGCACTGAGCCCAGCACCCATGAACAGCAGCAAAGACACCATGGGCTGGCAGCCACCAGTGATATAATACTGACAGAATATTTGCTGATTCTCACTGATCATGTCACTGCAGCAAGTTTAAACAGGTTTCAGGGTACTTCTATTAATTGTTTTCTCGCAGCATCAGGACAAATAGTACATATACACCTCACTTGGGCTCTGTGATTTTTTTTCATCTTTTCTGTCACACTGATGTCTCCCCATGTCTGTATTCTTTGTATTTCCATCAGACATCTCAGGGCATTGATTAACAGTGGCATGATGATTTCTGGGATTTTCAAGGCTATTTCAACCATCTCGAACCCCGGAGATTTTCAAAAGCTGGCAGGAGAAGGCCTTGACCAATCTGATCTATCTTTGAATTTGTCCTGGCTTAGGCAAGAGGGCTACACTAGAGACCTCTAGAGTCCTTTTCAGTCTAGATTGCTCTGTGATTCTTCGATGTCTACTTGAAAGCAATGGCATTTTGGCCTCAATTAGAGTTGCTTTCAAGACTGGGAGATCCACGCTTTTAACTGCAGGCTCAAGGGGTAAGACTCACAGATTAAAGTTCCATTTCAGGACCATGGAGAACCAAATCTAACTCAAATTTCACATAATTACACAGTTTTACACCAGGGAAGCATTCCTGTGATTTTATAAGCAGCCATGGTCCTCCTCCAGACAGAAGACAATGCTCTAGCAAGGCATTATGCCCCTCCCTGTCCTTTTTGGTAATTAAACATTATGCCTAGATCCATAAACCTCCTTACTTTCTTAATTATGAAATGCTGCAGAAAGTTAAGATGGTGAAAACTGGACTCAGCTAGTCTGCTCAGCATTGCATTGTGTAATGAACTGTGGCACAAGGTCTCCCAGTGTAGCAACATCCAAGCTATGACCCCAAGAAAACCCAGGCTCAGTGCTCAGCACTGCAGATCCCTCATATTGTATTTCAAGGTGTCATTCACTAGTTACAGATGCATCCCAAGTGCTGCAGGAAATAGTGGGTGCACATCTTCTTTTACTACACACTGACACCTTCACATTTGTTTTGCTGTGAATAAACTCATTCCACATCCAAAAAAAGAAAACCAAGGGCATGCCATAAGGCATGTACAATGCCAGGAAATTCTTACGAAAACAAACAAAAAACCAAGTATGTTCAAGGCCTTTTAACAGACCCACAGCAAACCTGGAAGGAGATAAAGCTCTCATTCTGCAGCTTTCAAGTCAGCTGAAGGCACTTCAAAAGACCTTTCTTAGCTGCCATAAGGGAGATGGGCTGATTCATTCCTTGCTAGCTAGGCCCATTTACCAGGCAGTACGTCTGGCACTGCAATTGTGCAGGTCCAAGAAAATCCTCAAAAAAATATGTGAAAAAGCCATTGCTACTGTAAGATCCAGAAAGCAACTAATGGCAGGAGTCTGATTACAATCAGTGTGGGTTTGGATCCTGCTCCACTCAGTCTTATGATGACACAAAGTGTTTCAGAACTCACCCGTTTTTTGTTTTGTTTTAGAAAAACAAAACAAAACAAAACAAAACAAAACAAAACAAAACAAAACAAAAACCCCACAAAAACCCAAACAACAACAACAAAAACCCCAAACCAAAACACAAACAAAGCAAAAAACAACCAACCAACCAAACAAAAAAAATTCAGCATAAAAGGGGGCAAGGGAGAAAAGCTGCCTTATTTTCTGGGCATGTCTTTTTCGCTTATAAACCTGCAGAGACCTTTACACTGAACTTTCAATTCAGGAGGTAGCAATGTTTCACAGAGATAAAGAGCCAGTCAACCAGTGAACATATCAGGTGAATGAGAAATTCTCCCAAAAAGTGAGACACCAGCTGGGGCCAAGTAAACAAAATGAACTTGTGATGCAACATCTTAATCTTCACAGGATTTGTAGTCAATAGGGAACAGGCAACTCCTCAGGAATCCTCGCTCCAGTGGTTACAGGCTGTTTTCTTATTGTCTTCCTGTCCAGTCCATTCCAGCCAAATTTCTAGGGTTATTCAGCAAGCATGCCCTGGACAGATTCAGACTAATATTTTTAAGGCTATGCTGTGGCTGTTTTCACACAAAGAGAAAAAGCAGATCTGTAAAAAACTTGGAAAGGTCTACCCAGATTTCAAGTCCCCAGTCTAAAAGCAGTATAGTCAACTATATAGCCAAACTTAAATTTTCAGAAAATATGAGTCAGGACTCCAAAATCAAAGGATTTTATTGGTTCTGGTCAAATTTAAGGACCATTGTACTTTGGCTTGGCTGGACCAAAAACCTGTTTATTAATTTTGCTTGCCCAGACACAAGCAAGTATTGCAGGACTGATTCAATAGGGTTTTTTGTTTGTTTGTTGTTTTTGAGTTTTCTGATTTTGTTTGTTTGTTTGTTTTTCGTTCAGGGTGGGTTTCTTAAACTTGTTTTTCAAATAGTTTCTCCTGCTCCACAGCTTTTCCCATGCCTTTAAGGCTTCCTGTGAAGTAGTCAGGGCTGCAGTGGAGCACCAGTAACATAACTGAGCTAAAATAAATAGAATTAAACACAAGAATTACATTTAAAACAAAGGTTTCAGAAACAAATGGCATGGGCTGTTTTATATGTTAAGTCTTGCTAAAAGAATCAAGGCATATCCCTACCCACCTAGGTTAAAAAAAGGGGCTATGACTGCACCAGTGACCCTACAATGCTTTTCTGTTTCTCTCAGTGGAAATTCTTCACAGAAGCTGAAAACACATGCTCATGATTTGCTCTGGCAGGGAGCACAGCTTACCACGGGTGGGACAGCATACTGAGGACCCACTTCATCTTCCCTCTGTCATCATAGGACACTTTTACAGTATCCAGATCTCCAGCTTATGTGGAAAACATAAATTTGGGATGCAGCTGTTCGAGCCGATACTTCCAGGACACCGGTACTTAAGCCGCCAGCAGGGTTTCGCGATCCCACAGCCAATTTCTCGCGCCAGTGCCAGTGCCAGCGCAGCTGGCGCTTCCCTGGGGAGTTGTCCCGGTGGCGGCGGGAGGACGGCGCCACCTCGCGGCCCGAGGCCCTCATTGCTGCCGAGCAGAGCGCGCCGCGGGTCGCGCCGGCGCTTTCCCAGCGCCCGGCGGTCCCGAGGCTTGGAACAGCTCCGGGCCGGGAAAGGCCGTGCGCAGCAAAGGGAAGGCTCCGGGGTGAGCTGACCGCGGTATCCCAGTACCGAAGTGCCGACAAGAGAGCTGGAGCGGGGCTTATTGCAAGGGCGTGTAGTGACAGTACAAGGGGGATGCATTCAACCGGGAAGAGGGGAGATTTAGATTTAGATTTTAGCTATTAGGAAGGCCTTGCTTGCTGGGAGGGTGGTGAGGTACTGTAGCAGGTTGCCCAGAGAGGCTGTGAATTCCCCACCCTGAAAGCGTTCGAGGTCGGGCTGGGTGGGTCTTTGAGCACCCTGCTCTAGCGGGACGCGTCCCTAGCCATGGGCGATCCTTAAGGAGCCTCCCGGGCCGAGGCGCACGCGCCGCGCGTTGCCCGGGAGACGGACGCCGTTAGCGCTCCTCAGGCGCGCCCGCCCGCGCGGAGCGGAGCCGCCGCACGGAGCCCGCCGTGGAGCCCGCCGTGGAGCCCGCCGTGGAGCCCGCCGTGGAGCCCACCATGGAGCCCACCATGGAGCCCGCCATGGAGCCCGCCGTGCTGCCCGTCCGGGCGCCCGAGCCCGCCGACGTGCCCTACAGCTTCTGCAGCCAGCCCCGCTCCCTGTCCTCCCGCCCCAAGTACCGAGAGCAGTCCAAAGCCGCCGAGACGTGAGTGCCGGCGTGCGGCGTGCCGCTGCGCCTTTCCCCTCATCCCAGCGCCCTTCCCGGGGAGCGCAGCCCCCCCGCCTCGCCTTCCTCCCGGGGGAAGCCGCCAGCGGCGCTGTGTGTGCTGTGCCGCAGGGAGAAGCGCCCGCTGAGCTACGTCAACATCATGTTCGACCCGAGGGTGGTGCGCGGAAACGTTCTGTCCGTCCGTCCTTCCCCACCGCAGGTACTGGGGTTCGCTGAAGTGCATCATGCTACAGTTTTGTTGGAAAGTCATAGGTAGGGCAGCAAAGCTAATTTTAATTACCGAAGCTGTAATTCTACTTGCAATGGTTTCACGCAGTCACAGGCTCTCCAGTTAAACCAGCCTGTGACTGTTTCCACCTCTTCTTTAAAGTACTCAGTTTCATATGAACTTCTGCATTTCTGATTTTTTTACCCCCCATTAAGTACTTAATGTTTTATTTTCCTTCTCCATTTCTTTAGTGTAATGGTCCTGACCACAAGTCATTACTCGATAATCTCTTATCATATGCAAGGTGTCATCAGGGAGAATTACAGCTCTTGGGAAGTTGAGTTGTGGGGTAGACTTTGGTTTATCGTACCACAGAAGCAGAGCTAAATGGTCCAGGTGTATGCAAAAGCTGCTTGTGAGGATGCCAAAGTATTTTGTTTGTATTACTGCTATATGCTGATATGATAGTAAAGCATAGAATCTTAGAATGGTTTGAGTTGGAAGGAACCCTGAAGATATCCATCCCTCTGCCATGGGCAGGGACATCTTCCACTGGTCCAGGTTGCTCGGAGTCCCACCCAAATGTGATACTTTGTTTTCAGATAATATTTCTACATAGCTAATTTGATCTTATGTGAATTTAAAGCAGTATTTTTAAAAGCTACTGTTTGAAAATAGCTTTATGTTGTTCTGTAGCCATTTCTTAGAGTGAATTTTATGTAAGTTTTGTTTAAGAAGTTAAAAGTTCTGATGTTTATCTCAATCTATAAGTAGAATACTGAATTTAAATGTTATTATGAGTTTCTTTGGTTTAATCAGCAATAATTGAGCTATAATTTTTATCTAGCAGACAATTCTGTTCATAGTCTGATAACTGGACTTGAATATAATTTTCAAGTACAAAGTGTATTGTGTTTTGTGGGGTTCTTTCTTCTTTACGCCTGCTCAGCATACTGAGCCCCATACTCTTGAGGTTAAAAGGCAGAGGAGTGCACGGAGAAAAGTACTGGCCAGAAAGTTTACACAAGTGCATATTCGACCAGGAACACCAGAGCCTGTGGAAGGCAGAGAACATGTTCATGTGCAGACAGGTAAAAGGCTGCATTTTTTAATATCTATCTGAAAACAAAAGCTTGTTGATCTATATTCACTTGCTAAACTGGTGATGAAATTGGTAGAACCACACAGTTTAAAATCATGGAATGCTGGAATCAGATATTCTAAACTTGTCTAATAAGTGACATTTTCCCAGAAGGTCTATTTTTCAGTATATATTCTTGAATACTAGTCAAGACTGCTTCATTTATTTTTTCCGTTTTTGGTATAATTAGAGAAATTTCATGTGTACTTGAAATGGAAGGTTTTAAAAGTTTTGCTTAAGGTGAACTACTGTTTTTGGAATCACTTCCATGAAGTGCATCTGACATTACAGAGAACACAGCATCAGATGGCCTTTGCAGAAAACTGACCTGTTTTGAGAGGTCTTTTTTCTAACTTTATAGAAAACATTTTATTGCGCTCTTTGCAATTCAGATGTAATTCAGAATACAGAGTCATCAAAAACAGGTGAAAGCTAAAATGAAAGAAATCCCACTTTGAGTATTAATTGTGCTTTTGTTTCTAGAATTGTATTTGGAAGAGATTAGTGATCGAATAATAGAGGTTGATGGAGAGTGTCAAACAGATGACTTTTTGGACAGACCACCCACTCCACTCTTCATACCAGCCAAATCAGGAAAAGATGTGGCCACTCAAATAGAAGAAGGAGAGGTATGAATTCAGGTTCACAAATGCTATCAAAATATGTCTCCTATCCAAAACACATTTCTGATGTAAAACTGAAGTAGAAAGAGAAAGGAGCTAATCCTCACAGAAAATGCAAAAAAAACCCAAAAAACAAACAAAAAAAACCAACAAAAAACGACCCAAAAGAAACAAAAAAAACCCCACCCAAACCCAACTCACTTTGAGGTCTGCTTTGAGGTTAAGTGCAAAATTAAGGGAGATGTGTTGCCATGTGCACTGGTTGTGCTGCTTTGAACTAAGCAATACAGTGTTGAGAAATGTTCTCTTCTGTAAAACATGTCCAGCCCAAGGAGGGACTGGGAACACAGACGTAGGGCCCAGATAAGTGCTTATCTTCTCCCTGGCAGTCCCCACAGGGCCTGTGGGAGGTTGTGTGGTGTCTCAGGCCAGCCCACTCACCACTTAACCCCCAGCAGCACTTGTGATTCTCTCTGCCTTAGCTGCCACTGGTCCCTCACCTGCACTTCTCCAGCCTGACTTCAGTACAAGGCCTTTGTCCATCCTCCTTTTCTCCTTGCCAATCCTTGTTAAGAGTAATTGTGGTCAAGGGATATTTATCTCTGTTTTTCTGACTCCCATCCTCAGTTGTTTGACTTTGACATTGAAGTTAAGCCAATCCTGGAAGTGTTGGTTGGAAAAACGGTTGAGCAAGCTTTGCTGGAAGTCATGGAAGAAGAAGAGCTGGCCCAGCTGTGGTCACATCAGCGTGCCTTTGCAGAGCTGCGTAATGCAGAGTTTGCTGAATTACAGCGCTTGGAAGAGCAGGACAGGCGAATCAAAGAGGAGAAGGTAGGACTTCCTAAGGGACTTCCTGTCAGAAGGGAGAAAAACATTTCCAGTACTGAAAGATAGCCTGTGATATAAGCTGGGTATGCCCAAAAGGGTACTGTCAGCTTTGATATACCTTAAAGCATTTTGATGATGTACAGCTGCACTCTGCCACTTGCTCCCATACAAGAGCACCACACTGTTGTGTTTATTTGGAGCAGTCGTTCTTAAGTGACTTGGTGTAGTTGGACACCTGGTCAAAAGGCCAAAACTAACAGCATTTTCTTCTGTACCTGTTTAGCTCTTTCTTACGCCTTTTCCTTATAAGTGCTAAACAAATAGTCAGAGTGCTTGGAAGTAAGAGAGACCTCCTGGTCTTTCACACACAATGTATGCTCTACTCTGTGTGCACACGTACATCTCAAGGTTGCAAAGTATTATGCCGTATTAGTAATATTTAGTAAATAGGAATAAACAAAGAAGGCAAGTGTTAATTACTTGCTATTCATCAGTCTTGTATAATTGTGTTTCCTAATGGTTTCCTGAACTAATTTGAGTTTTAATCTTTTTGTCCATGCAATAGGATATAATATTGGAAGATAAAAAAGTTTGGGAAATACTTATCCAACTTCATCATATTCCAAGGCAAATAATCAGCTTGATCTGCAATAATAAAACACAAAGTCATGAGAATAATGTATATTAAGGCATCAGAGAAGGGTTTCATTTGGGCAACATCAATGCCCTTATTTTACAGACTTGCCAAATTCAGAAAAGGAATACTACAGAAATGTGTTTCCCTGTAATTTGGGGTATTTTAATACTCCATAGATTAAGTACAAACTTGCTTTCAAGCACTCTTTCATGTGAAGAATTTCAGTAGAAGTTAGAGGCTGCAAATACCAGGTAGAGATTATCATTTTATGTACTTTTTGCTATCTTTGCTATTTATGGGACACACACTGTGATAATTCTTCAAGATCTAGATCAAAGAAGTGACATCTAAAGGCCTCTAAGTTTTAAATGCATAATTGCCTTGACAGGAACGTCGCAGACTGGAGCACCTGGAAAAGCTGCGGAAACAGAGAGAAACTGCAGAGAAAATTGCAGCTCGGGCATTTGCTCAGCGTTACCTGGCTGATCTCATTCCCTCAGTCTTCAACAAACTTCATGACAGTGGATTTTTTTATGACCCTATAGAAAGAGGTTGGGTTTGTTTTTTTCTTTTAAAATATGTGAGCAGAGTAATATAAAGCTCAAAACAACTATGAAACATAGTGTATTTTACTATTATTTAGAATAATGTCATAAGACTTTATTCATTTACATTTGTGGCTGAACACAAAAAACATTATTGGTCATCTGTACAAATAGTGAAGAATAAACAAGAGCTGACAGTTTGACAATGAGAAGAGCTACTTTGGAACTGGAGAGAAATAAATGGGTGGTTAGGATTAGGAGAGAGATCCAAATTGAAGTACATGTCTTTTTATAAAACAGACAAAGAAATCATTATGTCATTCTGAATATTTTGTAATGATTATCAGAGCAAGTGACAAATTAGTCAATTAGAATTAGGTCCTGAAAATAGGTTTGGAGTTGTATATCAGTGGCTTCCAAATCCTTAGAATCAGCAGCATTTCTTATGAACTCTCTTTCTGCACCCCACTTCACCAGTCTCCACACTGGCACAGACCACAGCTTGAGAATGAGAATTACACTCTCTCCAGGGTAAATCATGAAGTCAATGCAGAAACTGAGTGTGTTTTGCAACCAGGGCAGGCTTTGGGATCACAGTGTACAAAAAGTATAATTTGAGAAATTCATAAGTAAGCAAGAGCTCCTTAGTCAGACAGAACAAATGTCTTCAGCAGACCAGAAGCCAAATGTCTTTGGAAAGCAAGGCAGGAAATATTATTCTTCTGACTTGTTCAGGATAGTTATTTGGATCTCGCTAGAACAGACGACTGTGTATCTCATCTGTGCTAAGCCCTTCAAGGGTGCCAGACCTCTGAAAATAACTGCAGTTGAGAGGACTCTGCTCTGAATCTATAATGATCAGGAACCAAAGTAAGAGGTTGGAGATAAGAATCTAAACAATATCTGAGATTTCATGTGACTCTTACAGAATAAGTGCCTTTTGGCAGGGGGGGTTAATCCCTTAATTGTAGCAAATAAAAAACAGCCACCAAGTTCTGTTGCTCATCCTTTATAAAGTGATATTTCCCTTTGTTTCTTCCTGCTAAATTCTGACAGATATTGAGACAGAATTCCTTCCATGGCTAATGTCAGAAGTGGAAGAAACACTACAGAAGAAGGTTCTGGGAAGGACAATGCTTGACTGTAAGTTACCAAATCCTGGAATGTAATCTAGACTGCCTGATATTCTTGATTGTTTTTTTTCTGGTCAGAACAAATGTCACGTTTATATGGTCACTGTGGGTTAAGGTAGCAAGTGTCATTTTAGGAGAAACTCCAAATACCCATGGTTTTTTGTGCTGGGGGTTTTGTTTGTTTGTATTTGCTTGTTGATTTGGTTTGGTTTTTTTACTATATTAACATGTTTTAATGTTGGAAAACTACTGCTATATACAACTAGATAACTGATTTTCAGCTGAAACAACGTAAGTGTCAGTCATGCTGCACTATCCACTCTCTTCTGACTTTATACTGTTTCAGATTTGTTAATGCTGGGAGATACAACATCTATGTCAGGAACAGAATTATTTTTTTCTGCTATAAAGCTCCTACTTCCTCTTTGTTACACAGCCACCACTGCTGTAGTGTTCTCTGTAGTGCGCCTGATCGTGCCAGTGGGAACAGAAAAGCCCATCTTGTATACTGTACATGTATACCATGAAAGTGTCTTAATTTGCTTGTGTAATCTCACAGAGCTATGAATTGTTCTCCTACATTGAAAGGAGGATGATGGTGGGCGATGGTTGACTGAGACATGAGGTGACCAATATTTTTCATCAAAACAAGGGCTTACCTCCTAATCAGTCAATCATAATGTCCTTGCTTTTGAAATAGATTGAAATATCAGTCTTCTTTGGCTAGTTCAAACTAAATATTTGGGCTCTTTTATTAATTTAGAGGCTATAGTTGAAACACCTGAAAAACCTGGATTCTGTCTTGTGTATAAATACAAAAGTACGGTGTATGTATGCCCAGCAGGGTGCTCCTACATCAAACAACTTTTTACACTTGCATAACATCTTCATTCTTATAGTTTTCCTCTTGCTGGAATTTTGGGTTTTATTACAATTATGTTTGCTTTCTTTGATTTATTTTTAGTTTAATCAGGACCCTGAATTTTATTTGTTAAGATATAATATTATTTGGACAATTACAGCTGGTGTGTTAGGTATTTCAGGCTGATATATGTGCCACTATGTACACTGGAGGATCACTTCTTCATGTAGCTTTTCAGAAGGAAGGGAAATTTCTCTTCTGTATGAAGAAAATATTGTATGTTACTACTGAATAAACATCCTAAGGAGAATGTTGCTGCAGGATATAATATTGATGAGAATATCTATTATATTTTTGTTAAATCTGTTTAAGGTTTTAACCAGCTACCATTGTCTTGCTCTAGTCCTTAGGTGTTTCTTTATTTTTAGAGTTACTTCAGGGTTATTTCTCTATTTAGGGATTTATAGGTCAGTAATATACACAAAAAAAAATAATTTCTCAAATTATAGGGGTTTTTCTCCATGGTTGTAAATGTTGGCTATCTCTGTTTCAGCTTTGATTCGTATGGTGGTTGAAAAACGCTTAGATGAATTTAGCCATCCACCTCCATCTGCTCAGACAAACGCACCTTCTGAAGAGCCTGGGACAGCAGATGCAGCTCCCATGTCTGGTGAGGCAGACGCTGCTGACCAACCAGTTGCAGAGGAAGAAGAGACTGACCAACCTGTTGCAGAGGAAGAAGAGACTGACCAACCTGTTGCAGAGGAAGAAGAGGCTGACCAACCTGTAGCAGAGGAATAGCCTTCAGATTCCACCTCTTCTCAGTTAGAAGAATAAGATCAAGAGGGAACAGCAGATTTGGAAACTGAGTAGCAAACAGGCAAGTCATCAAGTAAATGGAGACCAGTGTCTTAGAAATAAGGATTTAATTCCTATCTATTTACAGGTATTGTGCCCTAGTCATGCTGAAGGATGAACCTAAGCAACAGTAGAGCATTAAAACATGTTTTCCGTATGCTGGAATTGCTGATTTCAGGCTGCTAGAATCAAGAGAGAAGTTACTAGTGCAATGAATGGCACGGAAATTCTGTCCCCTTTTACAATTCAATCCATCAAAACCTGGGAGATTTACAGTTGAAAAGCAATGCTGTCCCACACCCTGTGTTAGAAGGTCATGAGAAGGATGTTGAGAGCATCATAATAATCATCTTTGTAAGTGCTTTGATAATGTTCTTAGAACAATATTTCCTAACTTTCCTTATTTTGAAAGATAGTTACTGCAGCAATTAAATGAATTGCTTTTGATTCATGTTAGTCTTTCCTTTCCTCACAAACTTCAATGGACATCTCAGCAGGTAATACAGCCAAACCAGCTGTTCCTCAGGCTTGTCAAGTTCAAAGAGTTTCCTGCCCCTGGGAATTTCTGCCTAGGCAAAATCCTCCTCAGTATCCTCTCATGGAGCCCCCTCCTGGAAGTGAGGGTCTGGAGCTACACACTAAGTCTCGTCTCGGTTTTCTTTGTAATCGTCCTTTCCTGCTGATTCACTGGAAACAGTACCAGACATGACTGACAAAATGTGCCTTCACTGCCATGTGTAGCTAGTTGTACGTTCACAGGCCGGTTTCTCAGGTGGGGCAGGCCCCCTCACAGAAGTACACGTGTGCTACATTGCAGCAGGGCCGTGTGGTTGCTGGGTCAGTGTTCCCAGCAGCAGCTGTCCCCGGCAGGCAGGTAGGACGGCAGGGTGGACAGCCCTGCACCCACGGGAGGTGCAGGGGGGTCTGCAGCTCCTGGGTGCGTGCGTGCAGCAGGGAGCGGGAGAGGCCAGAGGGAGCGGGCGCTGCTGGCACTAGAGGGCAGGACAGCCCGCGGCAATCCGGCTGGAGAAACGCTGGGAAAGATGTGTGTCACCTACTGCACATTGCACACTGCATTAGTGAAGCCCGTCTGAACTTCTCTGCTGAACCCCAATGGTGTCCAATTTCTGCAAAATTTACTCATTTATAGCATAAGCAGCCAATACTTGAATCACACTGGCTCATAGGACGACAGAGTAGTTTGAGTTGCAAGGGGCCTTTATAGATATCTGGTGCAATCCCACACCTGCCGTGAGCCGGGATATCTTTCAGTAGGTCAGGTTGCTCAAAGTCCCATCCAGCTTGGTAGTAACGGACAAGGGGGAATCATCTCCTCAGGGTTGACCCGTGACCGTACAAGAAACAGCCCCTGGTCGCTTCAGGGGATGCGCACACACTGCCTTCCCTTCGGCCTGCTGGGGTACGAGTCTTGATACTGAACCCCAAGTAAAGGAAGCAAAACCGGGACGTGTGTGGAGGACATTCTCAATGCTGTGAGGTGCCTTCCTGGGAAGTTGTTAACCACCAGCAGTGCGGGTCAGGAGGTTCTGTGGATCCTCACAGGGACGGAGGCCACGGCAGAGGCAGTATCGACAGCCGCGGCACCCGCACGCCCCTGAGAACAAGCTCCCGGTAGCGCCGGCTCACACGGAGCGCCCGGGCACCGGCGGTGGCGGGGCCGCATCCCCCCGCCCGTCCCGGCGCTCCGCAGGGGCGGAGCGGGGAGGGGACGCGGCGCGGCCGCCCCTCGGCCCGGCCCTCCCCCGGCCCGCCCGCCGCCGCCAGGCGTCTCCCCGGGCCGGGCACCGCCGCGGGGACGGGAGGAGCCGCCACTGTCGCCGCTGCGCTCCCCGGCCCGGCGCTGGGGGAGCGGCGGCGCCCGCGGAGCCGGGCCATGAGGTGAGCGGGGCCGGCGTGCGGGGCCGGGCCGGGGGCGCTCCGCCGTCCCGCAGCGGGGCAGCGGGGGCCCGCTCCGGGCGGGGCGCTGGGGGGCGGGCGCCGAGCACCGGCGCCGTCGGACCGGGCCCGCCGCCGCAGGAAAACTGTGCCACAACGTGTCCGCTTTCAGGAGGAGAGTTTCGTCTTTACTTATTTATTTTCCGTTTTCCCCCCTCGACTTTCCTCACGTCCCGGCCGCCGTGCAGGCTCTCGCGCTTGTCCGCCCGCAGCGCCGCGCACCGGAGCCCCGGGATGGGCGCCCGCCCCGGCCCCTCTTGCCTCTGGGCACAGAAGGGCCGCAGGACCGCAGATTTGGAGGAGGAGGGGACGTCTCCTCATCCCTCCGTCGTGCCTCTCCAGCCCCACGGGCTTTCAGGGCAGAGCGTGGGGCAGCGGGCGGTGCAGTGTCCCGCGTGCGGCGGTGGCACCCCCGTGACAAGAGACACGGGTCGTGGTCTGGGAGGTTTGTTCCTGCGTGGAAAAACAACTGCGGCTCCAAAGGTGTGCCCGCCGCTCGCACACGGGTCTCGCCTGCATCAAAACCCCCGCTGACAGAAGCAGCCGCAGCATGGCTTGCGCAGTTTTCCAGCTCTCTTCAGGAGGCTGATAGCTTGCCGAGGTCAAGCCTTGAGCTGTCATTGACTGCTACGGGTCACACACCTTTTTAATTTTTTTTTTTCCTCTGTGGAAGAGGAATTTACTACATTTACTATATCCTATTACACAGGATTCATTTTTTAGTTAAAGTACTTAACTTGGTCAAAAGTTAACTTTCAGTTGTTTTTTATTTTTCTATTAGAAGTTTCTGTCCCTTAGTCAAATGACAGTTCATTTTTAAGAAAGGTGAATATTGGACAGCCAAACTTTCTCTGAGGGCTGTTGCTTTCTGTCTGACTTTTAACACAACAAGAAACAACCACCTTGCAATGAGTGGCCAGTATGGCAAACTGCTTTTGTAGAAGGTATTTAAAGTAGTAGATGAAGAGCAAAAGTACTATCTGTCTTTACAATGTGAGTTAAAACATAATCTTCCCACCTCATCTGATATTTTTAATTTATAAAGGATTACATAGGGCAGAATCCAAGCCTTTTTTTTTTTGCATGCATGATATATCTACATTCATGTTTGTCTGTGGCCACTTTGTCTACCATGATGAAGATCTTCATGAATAAATAGAAATGACACATACGTCCTCTTTCCAGGAATCAGTAGGAGAGGATGTGCCTGGCGTTATTACCAGGAGATTAGCAATCCAGCTCTGACAGAATGGGGAAGAGGTTTCCAATCTGAACATTCAGATTGGATTGCATTGCAGTTGTAAAATTAACATCAGCAGGTATAACCTGATTCTTGGTTGTCCCAAAGCTTAGCAGAAAATCTGGCTGTGTCTGAGATACCTAATTACATGCAGCAGCAGCACAAGTTATCAAGAAGTCCTGTCCCTTCTTGGCACTTTGCAAGAGTGCCCCTTTTTTGTTGTGAGGTCTTCAGTATGCCAGCGTCCCTGCAACATCTCTGCTGCGCTCTGACCCTTCATTGGGGAGAAATAAAGATGCTGTCATTGGGAATTTCCCTTCACTGGTCCCTCTTGTCCCTTTTGTTGGTTTGGAAAAGCAGCGCAAGGGGCACCGCTCCACCTCTGTGCGTGGGGAGTGGTCACACGGCACAACGCGAAATGGGGCGGTGGCTCTGGGTGGAACACGGGGGGTTGAGCTGAACAGAAATACAGGTATGGTCATAGGATCAGTGACAAACTGTTTTTATTCCTCAATATTGTGTGTGTTCGCTGCCCTGGTGCCACTGTATCTGCAGTATGTTATCCACCATTAGTGTGTTACTTGCCCTGAATTGTAAGTCAAAGCAGTCAAAATCTCATTTGCAAACCTAATGGGAGCTGAAATAGATCCTGGAGTACTATAACTGTGTAATGGGCTGACCAGCACCCCTTTTTGAATTATTCAGTGCTCTGACATGTAAATAGGACCTGGTTGTTATGATCATGCAGATGCTGAAAATTGATAATAGGATTATTTGTGTAAGAAGCAGAAGATAGGATGAGTGGGAATAAAAGAGAGAAATAAGATTAGAAGGACTGTACCAGTTCCGCTGGGCCTGTGTATCAGAGTGAGAACAATAGTGGGAGAGTTTGGTACAAAAAATCTCATAAATACAAGAAAATAATTATTTATTTCCTAAAGAGGACCATTAAATCATGTAGTTTATTCTCTAAGTTTAACCAGGGCAGGTCAGAAATTCATGCTCTCTAACTAAAGGCAATGACTTCTATTTCCTCTAATTTCTGTAATTTTCTCTGCATCAAGAACCTCCTGTTGTGAAGTTCTGTGAGCAGTTGCTTGTCTTCTCTCAGTGCCTGCCCTTCTGCCAGGACTTGGTGAAAAGGAAGCATTATAAGCTAATTCCCTTCCCCTTGACTATTGAGACACATTTAATTTACAGTATATTGGCAGGGCTGGGACCTGATCTGCTATCCCTCCCTCAAATTGCTAATTTATTGATTGATGATTAAACCCCCAAAAATATTGACTCCCACCCTGCTCATAAGTGAATATACACACTATGCTTAAGGCAGTCAGTGCTGGGGTTGTAAGTTTGATGTGTTTGAGCACTTGACCTTACACCTAACTTTACAAATCTAAATCGCCCTCTTCAGTAAGAGCAACCTGGCCCACAAGATGTTTCAATACTAGAGTATTGCCAGCTAGTTCCCTACTGGCCCCTCTGAGCTTTTATTTTAGGATGTTCCTGCGTTCAAAGATAAGCATGAGGCAAACAAGACTGCTCCGAACACCAAGGGAACAGCAGTCACACACTTCTACTTTAGCCTGTGCCACTGTGCAGGAGGCTGCATCATTTAATTGTCACTAAATCCAGAAGAATCTGTTTGTTCTTTTCTTGCGTTGTGTGGAAAAAAGTAGGAAATCTCTTTGAATGATGCCAAGGATACTGCTATTTTGTGATAACTGGCAGGAAATAACAAGAATTAGGACAGAAAGAAGGTCAGTTGACTTGAATTCTGTATGGGAAAGTCTTGAAAGTGGATCATAAAATTTAATTGCACACATATCCTGGGGATAGTCAAATAAATATTTGCTTCTAATTTTGGGTTTTTTTCTGATTTATTTTTAAGTTCCAATGCATTCTTCTGTATATGGGCTATTTGCAATTTGCTGTGAAAGTGGTTTGGGCTCCAGACATTTTTGAAATGACAATTCAGAAGCAACAGCTATTTCCAATGGACTTTACTGTCTCTATGTTTCTCATATTTCCTCTTTTTTCTTGCTTTTTCTGCTTGTACTCATTGATCTTTTGTGTTTCAGTGCTAAATAAGGATCAAGGATGCCTTTGTAAAATAGTTCTGTCTTGGAGGACAGAGTAGATCTGCTTTTATCTTTCTGTATCTTGCACCTATAGCACTATTTTAGAAGCTGTTTCACAAACAACTTGGGATAGAAAAATATAAGCTTATGAAAGCACTTAGGAAAATATTAGTGTAGCAGTATCTAACCTGTGTGAAAATGCACAACACCAAGCAAATGTAGTGCATTGAGCTATATTAAACTTTGCTATTCTGCTCACTCTCTTGTTTCCAGGTTTCTGTTGCTATTAATGGTGTTGAGGGACTCTTGAGGAGAAGCAAGGATGTCTTCTGCATGAGTGATGCATGTCTTTCAGAGAGAACCACAACAGCAAGAGTCCCATGTGATTCTTTTGGTCATAAACTGTCACTGAATTTTGTTGTTGTACTTTAGCTAGAATGTTATTTCAATCACTGCAGCTGTAAAATGTGATGGACAGCTTTGGTTTGTCCTGTCTGCAGAAATAAGTAACTTTAGATTCAGTATGGCTTTTTTAAAGATTACAATGAAAGTGCTGTAAAACTGAACAACAAACAAGTTTTTTTATATAGCAATAAAATTCTATTTTGCCACTACCTTGACAGGTTGATGCCCAAAGAAGGCACCAAGTGTCTGATCATTATATTGTCCTGCAATAATAAGTGGTGGAAGGACCAGTGAAACCCATACTAAAGACATAACTAGAGTAGTTCAATGCTTATTTTGTCCCCAAAGACGTAGATATTACTTCTTTTCCAGGTGGAAGTATCTCTAGAATCATTGTCACAGATGTGGCATGCAGAGAACAGAGAGGAGTTTGAAAGGAAGGGAAGTAGAGATGATGAACAAAGATCTGCAAAGAGGGAGTAAGAAAAAGGCAGAGGGAAGGTAGTAAAATGCTGGAAAGTATTAGCTAAGAGAAAGAAATTACTGAAAAATAAGTGATGTTTGATTGTCATAACAAAAAAGAAGCTGGTAGATAAAAGTACAAAACCCCCAGAGATATGTTTTGTAATCACAAGTTCTATTTCAATTCAGTTTTCTTTTAGTCTTAGCAACCAGCTTAACTTTTTGTGCAGAAAGCCAACCTTTGTAATGCTCCAGAAATGTTTCATATATGTTCTAGGATGCTTTCTGGCTTCTTTTTTTTTCTTTTTTTTATGTGCTGAGAGTCATGGCTCACCTGCATCATTGAGTAAGGAAAAGACATTAAACCCTTTTAAAGTGATTAAGACAAACCAAGAAGATGTAACAATCCTTTTCTGCTTCAGCTGCACTTGGGTGTCTCAGCAATCACCCATATTAATTAAGCAAGCGACTTAATACCTCTTACAGTAAGAAAGAGCAGCAGATGATTTGCCTGCTGAAACACTATTTTTTTTGTATTCTCAGGGCTCATCCAAGAAAAGACCAGAGCTGCTGGCCAGAATGAGTCCAAATGCGCTATAACAAAACCACTCCTCCCTCTGTCAGTGGAAGAGAAATTTGAAAACTAGTGCATAAGGTATCCTGAGTAGATGCATCATTTCCTTTCTGTAAATCTGGCAGCCAGATAGCCGTTCCTCATCCCAGTGGTGCCAGGCACTGGAAAGAGGTCACTCAGT